CTGAGGGTTGCGATCCGTTGCCGGACACGGAAAAAGACAAAAAAAAAAAAAAAAAGAGAATTGGATCCTATTCTTAGACTTTTGAATCAGAATCTTGGTAGCCAAGTTTATAAACACATATAGCCAGGTTCATAAAATCTTGAGCTAAACCTCTAAGTTACCATTTAGCAAACTACTAAATTTTTTACGTGTTTCCTTTTACATACAAAGAAGCTACTCTATTATTTTGTGGGATATGTATTCTAAGTAGTGATTTTTTTCAGAAGTGGTGATAAAGTCATGCTGACTCAATGACAAATTTCCTACCAAACCATTTTTCTAAAACTGGTTGAACATTTATAAGCAGGGAGGTTAATTATGGGAGGTTAATTATGTTCATGAAAAAATAAAAAGCTACTTGTTTCTAAAAAATAAAAAGAGCTAAGGACACAACTTTTTTTTCCCTTTTTGTCTTTTTTACTGACCGGTAACGGGATTGCAACCCTCGGTGTTGCGCCCGCACGGCGCTCAGCCAGTGAGCAGGAACTGGTCTCCACATGGGATCCGAACCCTCGGCGGGAGCGCCGCCGCACTCCCAAGCGGCGCACTCTCCAGTGTGCCACCGGGCCGGCCCAGGACACAACTTTTTAAGTGTCTTACATACTCAGATAATGGAAAGGCCTGTTTTATTTACTTCTGTTGATAAGCACATACAAGTAAAAAGTGGGAAAAATGTTCATGGTGCCTTTGAGAATAATAATTAATTACTATTTGCCTAATACATATTATCTCAGCAAAAATTGGAAATGGAGAAGTTTGTAGTTGAACACAAAGGGACCAGGACTAAGGTCAACAAAGAAGGTTTAGTTATAAGGTAAGATTTTTTTTTTTCCAAGTGAAAAACATAGGGTTTTTTTCAATAATTAAGTCAATGGGGAAAAAAAATTATACTTTCCTCTTACTTTCTACCTACTGTTCTTATCATATAGTCTATCAATATCTACCTTTACTGATGGGTAACCAAAATTGCCACTGAAGAAGTTTTGAAGCCAACTTCACAATTATCTGGTCTCCAGAGACGAGATAAAAATCTGAGAATAGAAAGGGCCCTACTCCTACCACAATCCTGAAACTTCCCAAAAGGTTGACTCTAAGTCATATAAAGTGTCAGCCATCCTCCCATCCTGACTTAACAATGAAGACTAGAAAGGTTAAGTGACTTTCCAAAGGGCAAAAAAGTAACAATTAGCTTTCCTACCACAGTAAGCTCCTCAGCCAGGCTTGATCTAAAGAGTTCCTTGTCTTTTCAAACATAGTACAGTTTCTTTAATGCTTTTATAGTTTATGCTGTTTTTCAGATATGAGTGAATACAATTAAAGGAAATGTTTATAAGCAATATAATTCCATAAAATATAATTTAAAAAAACCCTAATCTTAGCTTTCTCCCCCCCAGCAAGAGAAAACTTTGTAAAATATAGTACTAGAAATGTACTCACTGAGATGAAAAGAACTATACTGGGTTATGCCAAAATTTTTTTTGAGATGTACTCTACTCATATATGGTGTTAAGTAAGGGAGGTATAGTTTGCCTTTATTCCAGTGCAAGGTCTAAAGTTTTAATTTTTATTGATTATATCTTTTTACTATAGTGAACAAGATACCCTTTTAAATAGAAAAATGTTTTAATATATGAATCAACTATATTGTATATCACGTAGGAATACCTCGAATTATTTATAAATAACTACCTTACACATCATGTTTACAGAGAAACTTTATGATGATATTTGGATTACAGGAGAATATAAGTTCTATGACAGAATGGACTTAGACCCCAAGTATCTAAAACATTTCCTGGCACGGAGTAGGTGATGAATATGCGTAATGCATTTGTCCTAGGTAACTTATGAGTGAAGGATAGATGTCAGGAAGGGGATGTTTTGTAAGAAAACTGCTCTGAATATATAGTTTTGACAAGTAATGTTGAATATTTTTTATCTATTCTTAAGAACCAGATGGTTTATACAATTTTTCAAATTTATTTGGTAAATTCCTAATCTTTCAGAATTAGTTTTACTACATGTATTAACAACACTTGAGCTTGATCTTTCAATTGATCCTATTTCTAGTCTTTAATTTTTTCTTAGAATACTTCTTGGTTAGAGAACAATTCCTCTTAAGGATAATTACACCACTGACAAGGAAGAATACAAAACATGGCACTGGACTTGTAACATTTTAAACTAATTCTATATTTGCAAAAAAGAAAAAAAAAATCCTAATTACCATAGCCTCACTCTGTTAGTAACTTTAATCCTTAATTAAAAAACTCTTCATATGGCCATAATTTACTGAAGTAGAGCCAGCAAGCCACTTCAGATGCAGATTACTGAATCTTCTGCTACTGCTGAATCTCTCCCCAAATCCCTTCTATGCTAATGCCAAATGAGTATTCAATTTTGTGGAAAATTAATTGTATCACTTTTTCATTCTTACATTTTTCCCTAATTAATAAGTATCAATATAAAGGCAGATTTGTACAATATTTACAGCATAGAATTCTTTGGGGCCAATTAGTATAGTCTCACCTAGACTACACTAGAAATCGTATATGAATTGAAACCCAGAAATTCAGAACAGGTATCAGTTGTTAAATTTTTTTGTACATGTTCAAATTTAAATAAAATTTTAAAATGTCAACATATGTTCTATTTTTTTTCCCTTGCAAAATGGCCTATGCTGTTTCAAATCAAATAATAGAAAACTTCATGTCCAGAATTCAAATATTTCTATAATTTTGTAAAACAATGTTCACAGCAAACAAAAAGCAAACATTTAAGTGTGATGGGCCTGGTAGTCATGTGAATGTTTATTTTGTGACTACTTGCCTCCTTGGTGACACAAATGCCTCATCTGTTCATAGGATTTATGTGATTCAGTGGTTTAACTTTAGTCTCTTGTGGAGTTAGCCATTGTGCTTGGTTCTTAAAAAAGCAAATAAAACGCCGTAAGATAAAAATTTCCCTTAGATTGCAGGTACTTTGCACCTTTCCTCTGCTTTCCACATTTTCTATTTACACAGCTAACAATACTTAGAAATAACTACAAAATAATACTGTGTACAAAAAAGGAATAAAATCAATCTCTTGCATATGCTGTTATTCATTTTATAATGAGTATCAAAATAGCTTTCTCCTCAACCAACTTAAATGCCTCAATGATATAATTTAAATGCAAAAAGAACTAAGTGAAAACTAGAACTCTTGAGATAATCTTGAACTGTAATTTTTTAAAAAATCTTCATTCATTCAGAAGAAATCAATTATGGATTTACCCCAAATGTTCATAATTAATGGATACATATGTTCCTAGGGTTATTTTTAAAAACTCTTTCTACAAGTAAAACCTGCACTATCTTTCTCAACCACTTCAATCCTATGACTATCATTTCACAAGCACTGCAACATAAAAATTCCATAATTAAGCTTTCAGAGTGGTTAAATGGGTCAGGAGTAGGATGATGGTTAAAAAACTGAAATGTGAAATTAAGTTCCACAACAATAAATGCATGTGATTCTAAGATATGCTATAAGATTCATTCATAATCAATGAAAATATTTTCATTCATAAAAATAAATTCTCTTTTGCATTTACTTACATAACATGGGCTTAAAAAACTTCCATTTTTCAAGCAAATGCAAAAAAAATTGCAAAGCTTATTTTACATTTAATTTTATTTATATCATTCTTTCTAAATTATAAAAGGCCATGTTTTACATTTTTTTTGAAAAAAAATCAAGTATATATACCTATATCTTCTAGTTTTTTGAAAATTGCATATTTAATTGAATAGATAATATATGCACATAATTCAAATATCCCAAATTATTAAATATATATAAACACACAAAAACTAGAAATACATAATTGTTTGCTTTGAATTAGTTTCCAAAACCTAAACTCTAAAATTCCCAAAGTGATAATATAAAAACAACTCTAAAAAATAGCAATGATACTCATGTCTACATACTTAATACGAGCTGCATTAAGGCTATCACGTCTGTGTCTTCTCTATTCCTTGCATTGGTACTACTGAGAAAAATAAGAGCTAAAAGAAAAGAAATAAGAGCGTGAAAACCAGTCATCATGTGAAGTGTGGTGTGTACAGATCTTCCTTCTGATTACTTGGGCTACACTATCCTAAAGAAATAGAAGGGATGGGTCTCCAAGTAGCAAAAATAGCTATGGAAAAACTGAGGCAACAGGGCAAAAATTGAGGCAAGTGAATAGGGAACATTAAGGGAAAATTAAACTGTACCAAATATCAAGCAGGTAGAAATGTAAAGACATTCTTCTCACAAATAATCTACTACCATCAATGTGCCCCTTGCAAAAGTAGTGTATAAGTAGGCAATTTAAAAAGCAGCAATAAAATGGGCCGACCCCGTGGCTCACTCGGGAGAGTGCAGCGCTGGGAGCGCTGTGGCGCTCCCGCCGCAGGTTTGGATCCTATATAGGGATGGCCGGTATGCTCACTGGCTGAGCGCACGGTCACAAAAAAGGACAAAAAAAAAAAAAAAAAAGCAGCAATAAAAGGGGCCGACCCCGTGACTCACTCGGGAGAGTGCAGCGCTGGGAGCGCTGTGGCGCTCCCGCCGCAGGTTTGGATCCTATATAGGGGTGGGCGGTTTGCCCCCTGGCTGGGCGCACGGTCACAAAAAAAGAAAAAAAAAAAAAAAAAAAAGCAGCAATAAAGCTAAATATGGTACAAAAATCAAGAAATATTAAGTTCTCCCAAGGAACTATAGGTGGAATACTAAAAGAAAACCATAAAAAGAATACTTCCATCTCCGGAAAACTGGAAGTTCTCCAATGAAGGGAGTAACATTGAGTTTATAGACATACAGATTGTACAGAGAAATGGTAAGTGCAATACACTTATATCAAAAATCAGAACAATCAAGAAATTAAGAATTAGGTAACTGAAGCCCTGTCTTGCCACTTACTGTAACCTATTCTTGGCTCAAAGCCAGTTTCTCAAGGTGATTCACATTTAGTTCTAGCTGTCCTGCATCCCATTTCAGACCACCGAACACCACGTTTTCCCTCTCGCTGCCTCCTCTTCCTGCTGTTTACATATGACTCTTATGAAACAAGATTTTTATATTCAAACTACCAGGCACTTGACAATGTCTGAGTTCCAGGAGGTTTACTCAAGGATTTCTACTTCGGATGGACATATAAGTGGTTAGAAAGGGAATTTATATCCCTTCCCCAACCCCATTTCTGTCCTGTGATGACCACCTCTAAAGCTTAAATTTTATGAGGATAATATCATTGTGAATTTTTAATACTTTTACTTTATGCAGTGATATAATTCCTCTCTAAATGTTTACTGTGGTGGTGGGGGGGAACAAACCAAAATTGGACTAGCCGTTCCTAATGAGTACAACACTGTACTTACTTTGGGATAATCCAACTCAAAGAATGTTTCCAAGTTGTTGATTAGGTTAGGATCTACCCCTTTCAGTGGTTTCAGAAGAGAGACACCTGGCAGCTTGCTATATGGCTGTTTGTCTGTTGCCTTCTTGTTGAGGTGTAATCGGCTAAAAAGCAAATGATACATAAATTATTTCTAGAGAACATATTAGTGCCAAATCAAAATAAAGCACATACCAAGCTATAAATAAATTACAAAATTCTAAGTTAACATTTTTACAAGCTGACATCTTTCTAAAAGGAGACCTGAAAATCAAAGGAAGAAGACCAGGTCAGCTTCCTATTTAGGAAAACCTCAACTAAGCAGAGTGAATGTTCCAATGAAGTCCAGAATCTAGGTGGACTCTGCATGTTTGTTTATTGCTATATTCTCAGTGCTTAGAACGATGCTGGGCACAGAGGAGGCATTCAGTAAATACCCGGTGAAGAAAGAACAGTGTTAGCCCACACATTAACTGCCCCTCCTCTCAAATTGCCATCTATCGGCCAAACAGCTATAAAAATTAGTAAAATGAAATTGCTATCTGTACCAGAAAAATATGGAAGGGTGACCAGTAATTTCTGAGAAATTTCTATAACAAACAGTCCAAATAATATACAATTAAAAGTGCCAAGCAGCCCTATGGGAAACAAGAAAATGGGATAACTAGAACTACCGATATTAATAAGCTCAGAACAGCAGGGGAACAACAGAGGACGTTGAAAGTAAGAAAAAAAAAAATCACAATGATGAGAAAAATGTCTATTAATGTCACTGGAAGCTATACCATGC